CACACATCACTTATTCTGGGGTAAATGGGATCTAAAAAAGAAACGTTTCAGCCGAGATTGGGATTGACACTATTAACGTGTTTCTTTAGAGAGAAAAAGTACGTTTTTGTATTTGCTCTTATATAATAAAAAAATCATTGGCCTTTTTTATAGGATGACACACTGCAATTAATATAGTAGTATTAATACAGTTACAAACTAAAAAAACACACCTGATTTCAAAATAAAACTAAGCCGATTATATAAAGAAAAGTTGGTTTCATTGAGAGAAAAAAAATGCATGCTCACACTGATATATTATCGGTGGAAGCTAAAGTTACCTGGGGGGGGGGGGTATTAGGTGCATACGAGATCTGAACATGGTAATGCTATGGAGATCAGAGCAACGGTGAGGGGACTAAAAGTGCTACACCCTCCTTCCCCGGCCTCAAGTACTGGGTTGCTACGCATGCATGGTTTCAGTGATCTATATTTGTTCAATAGTTTTCAGTATGCTCATTACAAAACTTATTCCAGTAATATTGAATCGGGGGTATGACCCCCAGCAATTCATAATATCTACATGACAAAACGCGGACATGTAGTGTATAGCAACCTTAAAAGTATTAACAGGTATTAACCTGTCTCCATCAGATGTAGACCTGGAAGCTGAGGACCCCCTACCTCCTAGTTCCTTCATCGACGATTAAGAGCTGAAATATCTCTTGATGAAGAAACTTAGTTTACTCGTTGATTAGTTTTCTAATTAAACCTAAATAGCTCGGCTAAATTGAAATATACTGATTTATTATAATTTTGTTTCAGTTTGACTTGGGCTGCGAGTAGCCTTGTGGTAAGCCGACATGTCTGAAGGTTGGAAACCACAATACACCACTGATACTTCAAAGTAAGTGTTATGTATTACTACATAGTAAGTGTTATGTGATACTTTTTGGTTTGTAACATCACCTGACAAAATTCACTCTTTATTACAGTTGTATTACTTAGAACTCGTGTTTTAATGCATGCCAGTTATGTAAAACAATTTAGTTACTACGTCAGTAATCAAATTTAAAGTACTGTTTGATAACATAAAAAATAGCATAACCTTCAGAATAGTGGTTCTCAGTCTGTGTTTCGTAAAAAGGTGGCATAATTACTGAAAGGAATTGACAGCATACAGATAGATCTCACTGTGGTCCGCGAAATAATAAAACAATTCACGCGGGCCGCGAACAAAAACCTTTTAAAACAACTGCTTTAGGAAATAGGAATTACTTTCGGTTTGTTGAACTCTCCTACAATCACCTCCATTGGTTTAACGCTAAAAATTGGAATTCAATCCATACGAAGCGCACAATACAAATATCCCATAGTGCAGATTTGCGCTTAACAACAGCCGTTTAAACAGTAGTTCTAATCACATATGGCCGTGTGTCGATCACTAACGTTGGAATAATGCAAAATGATATATATATATAATATATAAACAAAATGCGGCTTTTAATTAGTTCTATTTGATAAACAATGGGTGTAACATATGCAAACCTATGTCTATAAGTTTACGCGTGGTTTTGTCTGTTTCTGATATGCACAAAGTTGCTATTTATCC